CTCTGCTTGGAAAAAAAAAAAAAAAAAACCAAAAAAACAAAACAAAACAAAACAAAACAAAACCATTTTTTCTGCATGGTTATCTTTTCTAAGTCAGAAAAATTGGAAATATGGTCTGTCATTTTTGCTTATTTTGCTGCAATAGAATAGGCTGCCATCCACAATGCATATTCATTACATCATTCATCAGAAGGGATGTTTTATGCCCTTTCTTTTCTTACAGTGCATGCTAAAAAAGTCATGTGTATAGCATCACTGTGCCTCTTTGAATGTAGCAATTCAAGAGCTACCGGTTCCATCATGGCAGATCCAGAAGATCTGCATTAATAAACAGGCCGGCAGGGTTGCTCTTCAGGGAGAAATGGCAAAGGATGTCTCCAAGTTTTTAAAAAGTTTGTTGCAATGAAAGCATTTGTGGCAAATCACCACATCTACATATGTGATTGTTCCACAAAGTTGATTGACTTTTCCCAGTCGGGTGCTCCCTTCCTGGTTTATTCATTCATTACATTATTACATTTAAATCCCACTGTTACATGTTTCTTCTCTTCTCTTCTTTTATCATCATGACAGCCCTGAGAGGTAGGTTCAGCTCAGAGTCAGTGACTGAACCTAAGTCACTCTTTACTTTATGGCCAAGACAGAACTAGAACCTGGGTCTCAGGAGTCCTAGTTGAATTTTTCTGCTACATCACATGGCTGTCTGGAAGAAAGCAGGAAGCTGTACTCCAACACATCTGGAAAGCACCAGGCTGGAGAAGGCTGGAGGAGACTGTAAGAGACTTTATGTGACTAGGCACCAAGTACAGCCCAAGCAGTACCCACGGCCTATGCAATGGTTTCCGAGGCTGGTTGACTATGCTTGTTTGTAACATATAGGGAGGAAGCTGCAGAGGAAGGCTGCATATGCTGTGAATACAAATATAAAGTCTATGATCTTCTCTGTTTAAGGAGCCTTTCAGACATGACCAGCAAATGTGAGGATCTCCCTGTCAAACATGCAGTGTGCGTGGGTGCCAGGGCTGGCCTGCACTGACCGAGGCTGCACTGAGTGAGTGGCTGTGAAAGCATGACCATAAAATGCTAATACTGGTAGCATACATTTGCTTGAGACTACCAGTGGAATAAACTGTACGGATCGCTCAAACTGAGAAATAAGATGCACAGAACTAGTCAAAGGCATTTTTTCCATGTCACTCTTGATATTTATGAGGACTTGCCACCCTATATTTAAACAGGAGTGCCATAATCCAAAATAATCACTGAATTAATAGCCAAGAGGTAACATTTGTATAAAATAACCATTTGCTTTACAGCAGTAATAAAAGAAACAGCAGAATTATGTATGAGGGCTGCAAGTAATTTGAATAATGTAGGAAAGGAGAAATATTATATGCATGCAACATCAATTGTCATTCCCCTATATTTGAGGTGAAGTAGAGTAAGCGTACAAAAAGAAAAAGAAAACCATGGAAATTACAGTACTCTTTTAAAAAAATGTTATCTATGCCTAAAAATCCAAGTTGTCTGGAAAAGGTTTTCCAGTTCAAATATTATGGACTAGCAAAATGGCTTGTGTTATGACAAGGCAGCTCCATACATTGCAGGAAAGAGGCACAATATATCGCACAGAAACGTACTGAGCACAATCCACTTTTCCTTAGTCATAGCCAGGTCCCACAGAACATAACAGAACTGGGCTTCAGAGTAAACAGAACATGATGTGGAGGTGCATGAATGCATTTGCCTCCATGGACCCACCTGCTTTTTCCATGGAAGCCCTTCTCCAAGGGCTCCCACTGTCTGAGGATTAGCGGGTGCCTACTGGAAAAAGGGCCTTTGCGGTGATGATACCCATGCTCTGGCATTCGCTATCAAGTCATGTTTGCTAGGATCCATCATTATTGTCATGATCAGGTACCTGTCACTGTATGACCTGCTCTGTTAATCTAACTATAGGCATTGCTTGGCTTTCACTCCTCTTTTCCAGTTTGCCAGACAGAAACTCACAGGTCAGGAGAAAATTCTATTCATTTGGTTAATGGGAAGGGGGGCACCGACAACTGAAAACAGGAAGTCAATGGGTTTTCAATGCTTTCCCAAGACTTAAATGGTGTTTAGAAGAAAATCGAATCTGCTCTCAGGTCACAAATAAACATGATGGCAGAAGAGTCAGAATCATATCTATGCTTCATATGGAGAATTAAATGGTTGAGAGAAATGGTTCTCCAAGCACGCACACACAGAGAACCAGAGGAGATTATAACAGATCCCCTATGGTCATGTGTAGTTTGACCCTCATTAATTACCATAAAAGCCATAGTCCACTAAGGCATTTTCTGTCTCAGAGCAGCCTTCCCTAGCCTGGTTCACTCCAACGTTTTGGATGGCAACTGCCAGAATTCCTGATCACTGGCCATACTGCCTACAACTGACTGGAGCTGAAGTCCAAACCACCTGGAGGGAATGAGGTTAGGTCCAAGTCCAAGGAGATGTGACTTTAAGCACATTTTTCTACAAAGGCTGCAAGGTTCCAATCTAGCCTGGGTCTATTGTGTTTAAGGAGGCTTGACTGCTTCTCCACATTCCAATTTTCATACTCTAAGCATTACCCAAAGCTTACCCAAAGCTTCTGTTGGTCCATATTTTATTTACTCAAGAGAACATACAGCAGCTGGGGGAGGGGAAATTTTATCAGGAAAATAGCACGAAGGAAGGCTCCCGCCCCACCCCATGTCTCAATACTGCTCCAGCTCAGGGGTCTTTGCAGCTGCTCTTAGTAAATAACGAGGCCTGGCCAGTCACAAGCACGGGATATAAAGTGTGATTAATGTCATATTTAGTTCGACCCTTTTAGGGAAAGAAATGTCATTGAATCCTTTGATGGGAAAATATAATTAACTGATATTTTGCTTGTTTATTGTGAAATATTGCATTCAGGAGCCAAACTTTTCTTGTTTCTCAGGCTTGAGGTACCTCAGTAAATTAGATTAAAATTGCACACATGTTCACGCCTCTCTCTGAAGGGACTGCGTATCTAATTGTTTCAGGCAAGGGATGCCTTAACACCCAGAGCAAACTTAGTTTTAAAGGCCTCCATCTGTTACTGTGTCCTGCTGACTGATGGTGTCTCTCTGCCCTTCACACTGCTGAATCAGCATTGCCTCATAATAGATCTACAGCGGCACAAATAAGGACATTGGTCCCTAAAGGAAACTTTCTAACACAACTTAAAGTAAAATGGGCAAATGGGGAACAGAATAAAGGAGCGTTCCAATGTAATGTCTAATCTATTTCAACACAGAACTCATTTTTGTTTTCTGGGACCTTTTGTAAGAACAGATAGTTTCATTCACTGAAGGCCAGCCCATAACCATCTCCATCACAAGTGGGTTTCTAAATGTGTAAGCACTTATTACATTGCACTTATATCCCACCATTGTTCCTCTTGTGAGGAATCTAAGATGGCTAACACAGCTCCATTCTCACAACCCCAACCACGGCACCACTGGCCCTTGCTTATTCATGAAATTTAGCTCATCTAAATTTATCTAAATTTAGCTCATTAGAACATGGAATACAAAACACAGGCACCTCAGACTGCAAGGAATTAGAATATGGCAAACTGACACATGTCCAGAGAAGAGTGACCAGGATGGTGAGAAGGCTGGAAACGAAATCCTTATGAGAAATAGCTGAAAGAGCAGGGTATGTTTAGCCTAGAAAAGGGAAGATTAAGCTGAGACGTGATAGCAGTTGCATATCCGAAAGGCTGTCATGCCGAAGATGAAGCAGACATGTTCTCTGCTGCTGGCACAAAAAGGGCTAAAAGGGAAGCAGATTTCAGCTAAACATTATGAGAGTTGTCTGCTAGGATATATTTAAGCAGAGTGTGGGCAGCCACCTGCCAGGGATGCTGCAGCTCCATCCTGCATTCCAGAACCTGCACTGTACAGAGGGGTGGACTAGCTTAGGGGTATGGAGGCTCTGGCCCATGGCCATAATTTAGCTTGTGGAGGTTTTGTACCTGGGCTCCTACAGGGGACAGGGTTTAAGACTGAAAGTGATGGAAGGAATCCACCTGGGTGGAACTGGAATGCCCTGGACATTTCCACCATCTGGTTGGCATTGCCTATGGAGTCCCAAGTAGCGAAGTCCTGCCTTAACATACTGAGAGCCTTGATTGCAACACAGTAAGCAATCAAGAGTTGAATGAAATCGGAGTCGCCTGAAAAAAGCCAAGAACCACCTGAGAAGTGTGGCAACACGGTTGGGATGCACTGATGGTGCAAAAGGCACTCTTTACTCCTTTCATGGACATAAAGTGGGCTCAGAAAGTGGGCTTTCTCCTCAATTCTGCCATGATATGGATTGAAGTAAGGATTGCACAAGCCATAACAAGAAGACCATAAACTTAAGCTCTGGTCCCAAGCACATGCCTTTTACACATGTTACATGTCATGTTTTGTGTTACTATAATGGGGAACAGCCATTAACCCCCACAGCAACCATGAAAAGGGTCACAACACATCCACATTTTAAAGACTAGAATGGAAATTCCCAACTTCCAATA